ATGGATGGATGTAAAGAGAAGTAGATGATAGATAAATACATGGATGGATAAGGATAGATGATAAATAGATAGATGTAGACAGATATAGATAGATGATCATAGAAAGACATGATAGATGATAGATAAATACATGGATACAGATAGATGATAGATAGATAGATAGATAGATAGATAGATAGATAGATAGATAGATAGATGTAGACAGATGATAAATACCTAGATCATAGATAGACAGATGATAGATGATACTGTAGATAAATACATGGATGGATAGAGGAAAGAAAGATGATAGATAGATAGACGGACGGACGGACAGATGGATGAATGAATGGATGGACAGATAGATGACAGCTTCGTTTTCCTCTTGTAAGAGGCCTGTGGTTTTTTTAATAAAATATTTTAAAAACGTATTACGCTTCCTTCATTTGTTTCAAAACAAAGGCATGTTTTCAAAAGACCTGTTATCTCTGAAGGAACGGATAATTAACCAGGCCAGACTCTGTCTGATTTCTCTGACGACCCGTAAACTAAAATATCCATTATTCCCCCTTCTGCAAAACCGGCTCCTGAAATTCCAAAGGCCCCCCCCCTCTCCCATTCCTTCCCCTTTCGCCTCCCTCCAGGGCGGGTGAAGAGGAGCCAAACAAAGCAAGGAGCAACCCCCAACCCTTCCCTGGAGGCAAATTAGCAAGGAAAACTGTCAGGAGCCATGAATGGCTGGCAGGACTGATTAATCAACTTTCTCAGCAGGGTGAGGAGGATACCCGACCCCCACCCCGTGGCCTGGGGCCCTGGTGGTGGAGGTTGTCAGAAGATGTTAGTTCACAAACGGGGACGAGGAAGGGAACTGGAAGGTTCCAGAAAGAAGACCACGACCAGCCAACCCGACCTTGCAAGGTGCGCCTAGATGCTTCCTTTCCTTCTGATTTCCTTCCCAGCAAAGCCATCTAAGATCATTCTCAGGCATGGGATGAAGCGGGCTATCCAAGCTCATGCTATGATGCCCTATGTCACCCAGCCAGCTTTTATGGCTAAGGCGGGACTAGAACTCTCCGTCTCCTGGTGATTGGCCCAAAGT